TACTCTGAGGACCGATGTCTTCCGAGCGGTCCCCGGGTGTGGACCGCTTTCTCCATGTCGGTCCTAGGTCAGGACCGCTTATCTCTCGTCGGTCCTTCTTATCATCACGTGACTTGTACTATAGTTCTTCCGTTCCGAGTGAGTCCCTGTTGTTCCCGTGATCCTGCAGTACAAATGTCCTGTCCTAGCCGCCCGATGCCCAAGTGGGTCGGTCAACTGTTATCCTGCATAACGGGTCGTAACATACCTCACGATCAGTCAGCTTCATCACTCAATCTCGTCGAATATTGGCTGAAGATTATGAAAGCTACTAGCGGCGGCACAAAAGCTTTTGTGAACCCCATTGCGAAAGATAGGCTGAAGGATAAAGCGGCAGTGGAGGGTGCGAATGCCGGTGTGCTTGAGTTGCTTAAGCAAGACATCAAAGGTGCGACGGATTTGAGTTATGATTAGACAATCAATTCCGAGAAACAAACATTGCCGCACCAATTGGCTCAGTTTAAATTCGCTTTGATAGATTAACATAAAATGTTTAAACTTCTGTCTCAGAGAAGCGGAATGAAGCCGAAAAGTCACGCTTGGGCCCGTTTATCCGGCAGGGGACGGCGGAAACTCTTTGGAGGGGCGAAGCCGTTCCGTCCCTGTATTTGTGGGGTAACAGGGGCTTTTCCGGCTTCGGCTACTTCAATTCGGATGTCGGATATCTTCAGCAACCGGCAATATTGACTGCTTCAGAAACACCTTTGTCTCCCAGAGCCCTCCAAACCGAAATGCTGTCGATGATAGATTCTCCAGAGATGGACTCTCCTGTGTCTCAGCATGCTGCTTCGCATAGCCCTGCAACTCCAAAGAAAAGTCCGCGGGCTAGGGTACGAGTTAGCCGAGCCTGCGACTACTGCAAAAGGTACGAACATTCCTCGGATGGGAAGGTTTGATATGGCGGCAGCGTGTCAGTTGAAATGTGAATGCTGAATTTCCTCAAGCAAAAAGATTCGATGCACCGGAAAGCAGCCCTGCCCAAAGTGTGTTCAAGAGGACATCGTTTGCGAGTTCAAAGCCCCATATGCCAGGGGTAAGCGAAGGCCTCGCCCCAATTCGGGGATTCCATCTGAATCACCCTCAATCTCACCCTACCCTCTTTCAACTCCTCAGTCAGTTCAAGATACTCAGTCTGAGACTCATGGCCATGGTTTGAATGGCATCGCAATTGAGAATGACTCATGTAAGGGACGAGAACCGAGAAATGAAGCTTCGCCAGAACCGGGTGAGAGTGATCGCCAGGGTCATTTTGTTGGCGCTTCATCAGGACTTAGCTTTCTTCTCCGCTTGCAAAGACGTTTGAGAGAGAATAGTGGTGGATCAACTGAAACTTCAGTCTTTGCTCTCGGCGATCCTGTTCTGCCTCAATTCGACAATACTGCAGTCATCTTAGCCCCGAAAGAGAAGGCGGACAACTTACTGAAAACCTACTTCGAGCTATCCTCACCAACTTACAGATTTCTTCACAGACCTACAGTTGAGGGTTGGCTGGAAGAATTGTACCAAAATGGCATGGTTTCGGCACCTCACTCCAGAAGTAAATATGCAGTCATCATGACCATGTTTGCTCAGTCAATTCAGTACATCGAGCCGCAGGGTACTTCTAACGTCAGCAATGGGTGAGTTTTGACCATCAAACGAACAAAATCAGGGCCGCTCTAATTGCGTTCATAGCATGCTCTACTTCCAGTCTGCCGAACAGGAGCTCAACCGTGAGACAGAACCCGCTACTTTGACGAGCGTCCAAGCTCTCCTCGGTTGTTGCTTCTACATTATGACTCAGTCACGACTCAATCACTGCTGGAGTCTTTTCGGGACAACCTCAAGACTTGTACTTGCATTGGGAATGCACCGGAAGAAGTTTAATCTCGACGGCATAGGCGACAGCACAGGATGCCTCATCGAATCTGAATGCAGGAAACGGACATTCTGGTGTGCATACAACCTGGACAGATACTTGAGTGCCATATTCGGGCGGCCATGCGCCTTTCATGACGACGATATTGACCAAGAGGTTCCTGCAATCATTGAGGATCACGCTTTGGGCAGTACATCTGTGGATGTCGCCAGTCGAAGAGCTATGAATATCATGCTGGGTCCTCTAGCACACCAACAGCTGGCTAGGATACTGAGCAGGATCTTGAGACAGCTCTATGGCATCAGCTCGCTGGATGAGACAGCAAGGCACGAAACAATGGCCAGGCTAGGCGCTGAGATTCAGACCTGGCGAGACCAGCTCCCGGCTTTCCTTAATCCGGACAAAGTCGATTCCCGCATCTTGCAACCAATCTACCAACGCCAGAGCAATACTCTGAGCCTCGCGGCTGGACACTGCCTGATGCTCATTTATCGCCCATGTCTCTTCAACGACTACACAAAGTCCAGTCATGATAAAGAAACGAAAGAAAATGTCAAGAGATGCGTTGATGCAGCCTTAAGTGTCGTGACCATCATTGACTACATGGTCGAGTCGAAGCAGCTGTATCCCTCGCTCTGGTTTGCACCGTATCAGGCGTTCTGCGCAGTGGTTGTGCTGTACACATATACCATCCGGAATCACAAAGACAACCAGGCTCCTTGGAAAGAGCACTTTGAAGCAGCAGAGCGCTGTCAAAGGCTATTGTTCAGCATCACTAGCCCTAGCTCCCTTGGTCGGCGACTGTCCGTCATCATGGAGGAATACCGTCTTGAGGTCATAAACCAGGTTCAGCAAAGCTCTCAATCGCATACCAGCAAGTCTATGTCGCTGTCGGAAACTGCGCTTGAGCCGGGTGCAACATCGTGGCTCGAAAGTATTGGGACTGAGGACAATCTCTTTGAGTTGATGGATTTGCCTAACTGGGAACAATTGGATTCGCTGGTAAGTCGACCTGTGTCATCTGACATCCGAGGTAGCATGTAAGCTGACAAAATTGACGAAGGTTCTTGATTTGGGTAGAATCATCCCCGAGCTGGACTTCATGGGCGCCAATGCTGGGTTCTGAAATTCGGGAGTAATCAGCCAAGCCTTTCGGAAACAAAGGCATTGGATAATCTGCGTCAGCGACAGCTGTAATGAACAACCCGATTCTAAGCTTTCTGTATGTCCGTCGATAACTCACGTATAACAAGCCGCCGATCTAGTGGATGAACCATAGGATGAAGTATACCCCGCGCCAAGGCTTGGGAGATGTCACATGCGTGATGCTCCGATTGGATCGGGGAATCACTCCCAGTATCAATCCTTTGCAGAACGAGCCCGTGGCCTTTTCCGAGGGCGATATCGGATGTTTGGGCGCGTCTTGGCTGATCTGTTTCGCTACTTTAGTGAGAATCATGCGGGAATGACTTGGTGTGGGGGGAATCTCAACGCCAGCGCCTCTAACAATCCGAATATTCCCATCGCAATTCATCAAGCTGAACGTGGGTACATCCATCTCCGAAGTACGATCACAAGTTTAACTTTCATCAGATGGCGCGACAGGAACAGATTATCAGTGCTGTCGAGCCACTTCATGTAGGCCAGTTCATGTTTTGTCGTATCACGACGACTGAAGGCATCATTGGCTATGGAGAGGCTGGGATTTGGGGTCACATAGAAGCAGCCGCGACATGCATCAACCGGTTCGCCGAGTACCTCGTCGGCAAGCGTGCGTTCGACATCGAACACCACTGGAACGTGATGCATCGCTTCAGCTACTTCCAGGGCCTTGCCATCAACGCCGCGATCTCCTCCATTGACATCGCGCTTTGGGACATCAAGGGTAAAGCTCTGGGTGTTCCCATCTATGAACTCCTTGGCGGGGCTTGCCGCACGAAAGCTCGGGTTTATGGACACATCTATGAGAGTACCATTGAGAAGGTGCTTGAAGAATGCAAGCGGAAGATGGAGATGGGGTTCAGCGCCTTCGGGCATATCAATCCCTTTCTCGACGAGGGAACCGATAAGGTTTACTTTAAGACACATGTTCAGAAGATGCGAGATGCCATCGGAAATGTGCGAAAGATGCGGGAGGTTGTCGGAGACAAGGTTGACTTGCTCGTCGAATTGCACCGTCGTCTAACCCCGGCAGAAGCAGTCACTTTCTGCAACGGCATCGCCGACACATTCCCGATGCTCGTTGAAGACCCGATTAGACCCGAGAACGCCGATGCCATGGCTCGCGTGGCCGAACGCATCTCCGTCCCGATTGCCACGGGAGAGCGTTTCTGCACCATCTACGAGTTTCAAGCACTGCTGGCCCGAAACGCTCTCGAGTACGCAAGGGTGGATGTTGCTGTTTGTGGCGGAATTACCGGAGCAAAGAAGGTGGCAGCAATGGCCGAAGCCAACCATGTTCAGATCTTTCCGCATAACCCGCTCTCGCCGATAGGGCTCGCAGCATGTTTACAAGTTGCCGCGGCGATTCCCAACTTTGCGATACAGGAGTATGCTACGGGATTCGAGGCTGGGGTATTCGAGAGCACTTCGAGACATCTTGGCAGCGACATTGTTGATCATGTTCCCACGCCTAAGGAGGGCTTTGTTGACATTCCATCTACCCCCGGTCTCGGAATCAACTTGGTGGCGAACGCACAGGAGATCAGACCACCGTTGGTCCAACCTATACGGATGAGACCCCACAAAGATGGATTCGTTGTCGATCAATAGGTCCAGCAAATGGCCCAATAGTCCTCATAGAACCTCCTCGCTCGATTCGTCTTCCTTGAAATCCTTGAATCGTTTTCAGGCGAACGCAGTATCTGAAGGTAGTCATAATCCCGAGCTCTATAAACATATTCCTGACATAACATGCTCTGAGGGACAATTCATAGCCCAAACGTACGCCTTTGACCTGCGATACTACGTTCTTTTCCAAGTCAAAGAATACTCCACGCCCTCTAGTCAAGCTAGTTAATCTCTGGAAACTTCATACCGCCCTTTGTTTTGTCTCATCTCAAAGACTAGTGGCGTCTTCCCTCCTGGTACTGCGCCCAGGCTCGAAGGATGCTTCGAGCCTGAAGCAAGGCGTTCTCTTGCCGCAGGCGCTGGATCTCAGCGTGCTGTCGGCGCATCGCCTGTTGGTTCCGGGCGATCATAATCTCTTGGACACGGATGGTACGTTCATCGGCGTTCAGCCATCTCTGATAATCCCAGACTGTGTCCTCGAGCTCATCGCAATGATCGGCAAGCTTATCGTTTTCCTTCAGCAGGTCGTCGTTCTCCTCGTCCAGATCGTCGTATTCCTCCTGCAAACCCTGAAGTTTACTGTTTCTGGTCTCTCTCCTAGAGAGCCTCTGTCAGGGATCGCTTCTCGGAGTTCAGAGCATGCTTCTCGGCGACCAAGACATGGATGCGCTTCATGTTGTCGGGAGAGACCGGGGGCTGGTGTGGCATAACAGCGGCGGCGTCAGGGATGGTGGGATCGTACTCTGGTTTGATGACTGGACAGCTTGTCAGCACCTCGGTAGCAAAGAAGCGAAAGTAGACAGCAGTCACGTCGACGACGACGGCGGCAACGTGGGGAAATTCAGGCTTCTTACCAAGCTTCTCGTCGCCCGAGTCATTACCCATATCTCCGATCGAGGCGTCCTCGTGGTTCTGCACATGATCGCCATCTTCTTGATCGGAGCGAGGCTGGCGGGTTGCTGGCACTTGGTGGCGGCAATGGGAACAGAACTTGCGCTGGGACTGGATGTTGATAAACTTGTCGAGCACTTCCAAGAAGCTTTGAATGTCCTTCGAGGAGACTTGCGTTGCTCGCTCAGCCGCGGTGAACTTGATGCGGGCCTTGATGAGGATGTCCATGACGTTCTCTGGCGCCTTTGGGGCGGTCGGGCGCTTCCACTTGGGGTCCTTCTCGGAAAGATCTCTCAGAGCTGCCTGCCAAATCTCGCCCGGAGTCCAGTGGCGATCGTTGTTCATCTTCTCGATGACAGCCGCGGCGGCCTCAAGAATCTCGGTACCACGGCGCGCAACGATGAGCATACGATCATTGCACGAAAGGCTGGTCTCCTTCTTGCTATTATTGATTCCACAGAGCATGAACATGAAGCAAGGGTGGGAGTGACGAGGTACGAGGGGCTTGTGGCGATTTCCGGCAACCGCGAGACCAGGCATCGTTCTGACGGTCTTAAACCAAGGCGCATATGCTTTGGTCTGGTGATTTCGAGGTCTTCCCATCTTGGTCGGACTGATGACGGATATGTCGGTGGTGCTGGGAGCAATTTTGTGATGATCGCCAAGCGGGCGCTGGAGTCGTGTTTTTGCAAGGATGGAGCGGGAAAAGAAAAGAGAGAAAGAATGAATGAGGTAGCTGTGAGTGAGTGAAGTTGGTCGTGTGAGCTGAAAAGTGGGACCGCGGAGCGACAGAATCTTGCTCGCTCGAGCGTCTGGACGGCAGGAATATCAAAAGAATGAATCTGTGAGCCTACAAGAAACTTAGGCCAAGACAAGCTAATCTTCCTCTCAATTCCCCAAAAAACTTTTATATGGCGAGGCCAAAGAAGTAGAAATGCGCCGTCAATTTGAGCTAAATATGTCCAGGTGGAAAAAATGAGGGACGATACGATGATTTGAACAGACGAACTACAAAAAGGGTCTGCGAGAGGGTAGAATGCCGAAGTGCGGAAAGGGGGCCAGCCTTAACCACTACGTCAAACTCACTCAAATCATCGACCGGAACCTCGTGGCAGAACGGGCAAGGCAACTGCCCTAAATACCCATCCCGTGATCTGAGGTTGCTTGAAGGCAATCAGAGGTGAAAGGGATGCCCCACAATTGACCACCCGTGACCAGTCACGCAGCTCGCTTGATGTTCGGCCTGAGGACGACGCATCATGCGGCCGCATTCTCCTCGGGATGTTCTTTGAAAATGAAACCTGTTTGTTAAAAGACGAATTGCATCTACTCAGCCCCTCTCAATCTTCAATGAAGTCGCACTTCATCGTCCGACGCCAAGGATCAGGTCAAACAAATTCCGGACCCCTCAATTCGGGATATCGGCATCAGATGATGACAACAGTAAGGACGACGATAACAGATATGGTAATTGGCGAACATGGACAGAGGTCAAAGAAACTCCCCCTCTGGCGACATGTGCTATTATGGCACATCATAAATGTCCTAAGAGAACACCAGCGGCCAAAAGACCGTCGTGCTCAGCCCCAAAAGGAGGCTGCCCAATCTCTTGCCGATTTGACCCAGTTGCGAGGTCTTCTTGAGTCGTCCTCCTCCGCAATCTTGCTGTTTTCGGCCAAGCTGTGTTGAAGCTTTCGATTCTCAGCCTCCAGCATCGCAATACGCTGCTCATAACCAGAGGTCAAAGACTCGGCCTGGTTGGATGCTCCAGTATCTTCCGCCTTAACCTGACGAATCTTGTTAGGCGGCTCCACATCTTCGTCTGACGGGCTTGTCTCATCATGCGACCTCTTAGGAGGTCTCTGAGGTTTCTCATCTGTCGCAGCTGTATTAATTTCGTTCCGCATGAAGTATATTGGCAACATATTCGCAAAGACTTACCGGGTTCCATCGATTCGTGAGTCGCACTGGGCTCATGGCCTGGCTGAATCCAAACCGAAGCTTCAATCCACCTGTCAAGACTAGCCAAGAAAGGGCGGAACCCCTTTGGAAGCTTTATCGGGCGCTGACCACGGAGGTGACCGCGACGCAGATCACTTCTCCTCAAAAACAGGTTGCGGGCTCCCACCAGCCGGGTCATGCACTTGGAACAATCCTCCACAGCGACGGCGCCCCACTTCTCCCTGCCAGTTCTTGTCGTCAACCGCTGCATGGCTTCTCGAAGAACCTCATTCCATTGACCGACGCCGCGAGATTCTGTGACGACTTCCACATAAATATCCGTGAATTTCTTGATATTAGCGGCAAGAAGAAGCTTGTTGCTATGAGACGGGAGAGCTGGGCCATCAAAGAACATGCGCCAACCAGCCTGGCCAACTCGAGTTACAGGGTCGCCGATCTCTCCTGGGAAGCGAAGACCTGGCAGCCTGCGCAGGTCAGGATGGCTCGCATAGTAGTTTACAGGATCGGTTTGCTCTTTGAATATCTCTTGCTGAAGCATGACGCAGTCCTCATCCAACTCTTCGTGCTCCGGAGTTTGGCTGACAGGATCGCTTGGCTCGTTGAGGATCCCTTCGTCGAGCCTTAGCCAGTCCTCAACAAACTGTTCATCGTCCTGAGTTTGGCTGATAGGGACAACCTCGATTGCGTGCGAATAATCCACCTTGTCGGTTTGCTGAGTATTGATATTAGTCATCCTGCAAGCCGTTAGCGGTTTTGTTAGGAGAAACAGTCAAAAAGAGACTCGGAAAAACTTAGCGGCTTCGGCGGGGGACGGCGATGACTGAAGACGATGATGGATGTTGACGAAAGGTGAGGGTAGGTAATAAGACAACAACGAGAACAAAGGCTTATGAATTCAGAGAGAAGAAATAGTCGACAGATGTTGTATATAAGGTTCTATGAAAAAAAACTTGCTCTTCTGGTCTAGAGATGTTGCGAAGTCTAATAGCAACTTAAAAAAAGGTGGGGAGTGACCAGGAAGGTAAGTCCTTAATGGTCTCGAACTCCAGTAGCAGGGTTCAGAACGGTCGATCAAGGTGGATAGGTAGCCATCACACTCCTTGCCCTTCTAAGAAAGCTTCTGACACTGAGAAGGCACTCTTAAAGCTTCACGACTGCCAGGAAAGGCGCTCCGAATAGCGAACGCAGTCTGGTCAGAGGAGGGAACAAGCTCATTGCGGTGATCACATGGGCGGAAACCAGCGATCTAGCGCAAGCCGAGATATGTCTTCCAATTATACTTCATGAGAAGGAAAACAGTTCCTGGAAGCCGCGAGTCATCTAAACCTTCAGAAGACCAACTTGAAAAGCCAAGATCGATCCCTCCGTCCCAAGATATAGACCATGACCATTTCAGATGGTATCAAGCTTCGAACGCCTAAGGCCGATCATTCAAGAGTCCTTTCCGAGATCCAAGCTGCAAAGAAAAATCCCTGCATCGTTTGCCCCCCAAGAGAGGCCCTCCATACCGTTGGCCTCCAAACCACTGTTCAACTGGCGACGGTGGGCTTCCCAAAGCTTCCAAAAGGCTTCCTGAACCATGCAGAGATCCTTCTCCTTGGCCTGAAGGGACAATGTCTTGCGTGTCTTCAGTGTTTGTTCGGTGACAAAGCGGGTCTGCAGTTGACGGTTTTCCTTTTCGAGGCGCTCAATCCTGCTCGACATGACGTTGCATCTTTCCTTATATTTGCCCAGAACATCCTCCTTTGCTTCAGCGCAGTCTAGTTCGTCTTCTTTGATGACCGGCGTCAGAGGAATGGTGGAGTTTCTTGGGTATTTGTACGTCGATCCCTGCACGAGAAGGGGATGAAGCGACTGACTGCTCTGCGGGACGACAGGCTGGATTGAGCAGGCTGGGATGGGCTCTTGTACAGGCTCCTCTATCTCTGCAACATCGGCCGATTCCGAGGTTGATGGAGTAAAGATGTCGTCGTCTGAGGATGCCTCGCTGGCGGGGGACTCTGCGTCCATTTCTTCGAAAAATGTTAGTGGATGAAATTCAGCAGACTAAGATGGGAAACCTACCGTCACGTAAGAATCCGTAATTAGATCCGTCAACGAGCATATTTGGACGATCTCGTGAAAGCAATCTTGTAATGTCCACAACCTGTCCGAGGCCTCCATATGCGGGCGCTGGGCCACTCCCCATCCTTTCCACGAAGGCATTCCGAGCAAGGACAAGTGTATTCACGATTCCAAAGGCGAAATGGAGTCTGTCAACCAAGGGATAGCTCTCATAAGCTCGCCCGATCGTGGAGTAGAGCGAGTGCTGGATTAGTGACTGATCAACATCGGAACCGAATCCAGCGACGAAGACCCCCTTTGGGAGCCTGCCCAGCTCCTGATTAACGACGTTGAAGTAATACATCATCTTTAGTTCAACGCCCCCCTGGGTGTCGAGAGCAGAATCATCGAAGAAAACTCCGAATAACTCCAGGCTGCGTCCACGGAATAGGCCTTTCCACTTGTCGTTCTTCGGAAACCTCAGGCCTGACAGGGCGTGAATGTATGGATGATCGGCCCATTTGAGCTTCTCAACTGTCGATATTTCGGGCATGACGGGTAGGAGCTTGGGCGAGCGGTGTACAAAGACTGCAGTGATTTTCGGAGATGGCGGGAAAAGGGATGTCAATACTGCAGCCTTTCTATCTCGTACCCCAGCGTCATCAGGGTCTCTACGCGAAGATTTGCGGTCTGCGGAAGCGACGGCAGTGTGATATATAAGCTCGTTTCTTGACCCTCAAGGTTGCCCCATATGGCCAGAATAACGCCATTTGACCTGGATGGGAAAACAGCACCAAGTTGCTAAGTGCCACCACAACCTAAATCAGCCCGGCTGGAGACGTCAGCGCACCCATCGCAGCGCAACATGCCTGACTGACCAGTCGACGAGGCTCTCTCTCATCCTGTCGAGCGTCGAGCACAAAGCCCAGAATGCCATCACCTCTTATCAACGGAAGCAAAGCAATCCATGACAAAGGTTTCCCTGAAGCTGCCTTTGCCATTGTAGTCGCCAAAGCCTGCCATCGTATGCGGGGTGAGGATGCACCAAGGATCAGAGTCCTCTTCTACCCCCGTCATGAAGAATCTCATAGCCCGCCCACGCAGCTTTTCCCTTAGCCAGTACTCCATCCTTGCCTTCGTGTACACCCACGAGACCATCTCCGGGGCCGTCAGCCCGTTGGACAGGACCTTCGGGATCAAGTAGTCGAGGATCGTTCTGGCGAAATTGGTGCTCTCGACCAGGAGAGCCACCCAGCGGACGAGAACGTCGATACGAAGCACCGTGAACTGCTGCTTTTGAAGCACGTTCATACCGCAGATGATGCCGAGGGCTACTTTGCCCCACGCCTCCGTCGCGGCTGCTGAGACAGAGGGATCGCAGACCGAGCGGAGGTTGCTGATGCTCATGCGGGAGATCAGGTACAACAAGTAGTCCATGGCCTTCGTGTTGTCGGTAAATCGGTACGTGATGACGGGCTCAAAGGTGGGACCGGTAATCGTGTCCTCGTCGGCGCCGACTCGGACGATAGGTAGGTCGCAGTCGCGCAGGCCTTTGTGCCATGAGTCGAGGTGCTTTGAGAAGGTATCGCATTGTTCCAGCACTTTTTCCGACGTCAGATCCTCCTTGTAAAAGTCGCCCCTCTGAAAGTTGCGGTGGTCGGACTTTCTGTTGAGCACGGAGCAAAGCCATCTGGCTGCCCTCTCAGACGCGCTTGATCCCTCAACAGTGTTGTCATTGAGGAAGCTGGCCTCCATAGCGTTTCTCGAGTAAAGGCTGAAGACTCTGGACATGACATCTCGGATCGCCAACTGAGGGTCGAGGAAGCTTGCACTGTCGTAATTGTCGACAGGGTTGCTTGACTTGCGGGTCGGTGTATACGTGTATCGAATGTCGTAGCGGAGCATCCGCCATGCTTTGAAGAGGTTTGGCATTGATGATGCGGCAAAGTCCATCTTTGAGGCGATGGCGTCGAGACCGCTGGCGTGGTTCCTGAGGCCAAAAGCCGTGCCCGCCTCCAATTCGTGGTATGCTAGAAGGAGGGCTGCGCCGGCCAGCTCCTCGCTGCTCTTGTTGGATCGCTGTATTTGCAGCTGAAGGTCCTTCACCGCTGTGTCGTAGTAGACCCAGACGCATTTGTCGTCACATATCCGCCGCAGGCTCTGAAAGTCCATCGGTAACCGCTCTGCCAATTTCAGATGGCTCGCGGACAACGCCAGGACTGCCGCTCGGAAACAGCTGCTCGATTGGAACAGGTTCGAGAAGGCTAGCGCGACGGGAATTGCGGGAATGACATTTGTGTCGAAATGCTGTACAAGTGACTCTTCGAGGGGTAGCGAGATCTGGAGGTCGGTGGTAGGTTCGCCCAGAAGGGACTCCTCGGCAGATGATGTGTCGAGAGGCGAGTCTTGAGACACGAGGAACTCGTCCCAGTTGGCAGGTGTCAAAGCCTCCGGTGAACTTTGCCGCGGCGAGGTAGTATCATCGGATGCACGTCCAGGCAGCGGAGTCGAAAGGCTTTCGATGACGGTACCCAGCACAGGAGCGACCTCAGGGAATACCTGCGACGGCGCATTGGGGATATCGAAAAGACCCCAGGGCAGCGCAAACGCGCCTCCAGACCAGGCTTCAGTCGACATGAAGTTGGTAGACGGTGCCGGCACCGGAGCAGACGGGGCCTGAGCGCTGAGCGCCGGTCCGATGATGATGTCGGGGCGAATGACTTCGGACGACGCCGTATCCGTGGCCGTCATGCGACGCTTTCTCCGCGCATCCTCATGTCGCAGCGCCGACCAGCGAGCGGCCTCAAACTTTCGTGACGACTCTGCGGCCAAGGCCGTCACGTCTTTGAAGGCGACGGGACGATCGTAGCCGCTGCACTTGATGCCGCGACGAACACAGGCGGAGCAATCGGGGCGCGTCTCGTCACACTGCAACAGGTCAGCCCGCGGTCGTTTGCAAGAGATGGACGTGTACTAACCTTGCGTCGCCTTGTTTTACAGTTTTGGCATCCGGTCCGTTTTCGGACGATGTCTGTCTTCTTGGGTCGTGATGATTGCGTCTCCATTGGCGGTCGACCAACAGCTGTGTCACCGCTCAGCGCAAGGGGTTTTGCTATCGAGTGCTAGAAAGCTGTCGTTCAGGAATGCGTAGCGGGGTTAAGGGGAAGGAAGCTGTCCATACTGAAGACGAGACATGAGGCCGTTTCGATCTGTTGGGGAGGATGGTTGGCATTTTGGTCGGTAAGCCGGCAGGCAGATTGTGCCGATGGCGGTAATCTGACTGACATGACAGGATCCAGGATGGCGGCGTCGGGCGAGATGCTCGTGGAGGGCGCAGCGACACTGAACTAGTGGGGGCACAAAATCCCCACAATGCTGACTCTACGTTGTCGCGGTTGGCTGCAGATAGCGGCAACGAAATGGCACTATGCCTAAACAGGCTCGCGGGTGCGACGCTACGCCTGTTTTGGCAGAGCTGTCCGCTGCTTTTCAGCGTTGCGCATGAGAACCGGGAGGCGTGATTTTCAATCGTGACTCTCGGTTCTTTTGAGACTACCTCATTTGCCTGCATCTTTTCAGTTGTATTTCCTGTTTACTGAGTATCCGAAGCCTCGAAGCTTTTGCTTCAATGAAGGAGTCACAGTTATTAGAGACGACATGGCCATTTTGTGAAGAATTCTTTGGTGAATTTTTATAATACCAGGGATACATAAGAGGTCCCCCTTACTCTAACCACCCCTTATATATCTAGTAAACTGCCCCTATTAACTACTACTACGCTATAGTAATTATATATATATCTTTAAGTTCTTTTAATAAAGCGCTTTACTTTAATAATATAAAACGCTTGATTTAATTAATATTATATAGCTTCTTCGTTTTAAAATTTATTTTAATATATTCAAAATATTTCTATACGTTAATTTAATAATATACTATCTTATTAAAGTATACTAATAGAAGTAGTAATATATTTAATTTATTATTAAGTTTTATACTAAGGGATTAAGTTATATATATAAAAGTCTATATAGTTATTTTATTCTAGTTTTTTTTAAATAATTATAAAAGCTTATTACTGTAAGGGTCTAGGACAAGGTCGTTGCCATTGGTCTAGCCTACTACTACGAGCATTCCAAGCTGGAGGAAAGAAGAACCATTCTGGGAAAGAGTGGTGCCCTTCTCATCTTTAAATACATGTGAGTCTTCTTCCAGAAGCTTCTATTGAGTAAGGGCCGACAAGGTTCTCATAACCTTCCACGATATTCTGTAACCTTCCAAAGTATTCCATAGCTGAGGGTCTAGCCGAAGCTTCATATCGGTTCATAGACCGTGACAGGTTGTACCCAGCTTCAATATAAATTGAGAAAATAGAGGAAATGATAACTTAAGAAAATGAGGGAAACGGTGTTGAACCCAGGTTCAATTGAAATCGAGAAAATGTCGAAAGCTACGTTGAACCCAGGTTCAATTGAAAGTGAGATAATGGGGAAATGTGTTGAACCTAGGTTCAATTTAAGATAGGAAATGTCATCAACAGTGTCAGATATAAGGCGCCACAATAGCTCCGCAATTGTGGGTCCCACTTTTGGTCTGACAAACAGGTTAGGGAAAGAAATGGAAAACCATTAACTAGTTAGTTGTGGATTGCAGGGTTCATACCACCAAGTATGATTAGGTAAGCAGACTCGGTAAGCGGCTTACGGAGCCGAGAGCTCCCGAGGCCGACGAAGGAACAGCCCGTCACAGAGCCGGACCGGATGGGCAGTTTAGTTGGCGGGTTCAGGGCCTTAATGCAGGAACAGTACCGTACCAATACAAAAAAGCCTTCAAGGTTTCCAAGAGGAAGAAAAAAACATGCAACACCAGGTATTCGCTGATCGTCACCGACTCAATGACACAGGTGTTACGGTCAGCTATCCGACAGTCGGGTCTGCTAACAGAAGCTGGAGATTGAAACGTAGTAACAGTACACTGTGGTCGTGGTCTGGGTCGTAGGTCGTAGGCTGTAGTAGATCGGGTCTTTCAGAGGCTAAGGTGATCAGTCTTAGACTCAACAAGTATTCGCAGTGAAGGTAAGCTGAAAGTATCCGAAGATGAGTACAAGGATTGATTGCTGAAGAGCTATGGAAGTCTGACCTTGAGCCGGGCTCAGGTCATACTATATACAGGTTTTCCTATCTGAACAGTTGTTCTGTTCATGAGCACTGTTTTCCTTGTTGCCATGAGCGCTCATTCCAGTATCCACTGAGCGCTCATTGTGGATCCCTTATCTATGCTCATTCCTTATCGTCACGTGACCTGTACCATAGTTCTTCCGGTTCCGAGTGAGTCCCTGTTGTTCCCGTGATTCTGCAGTACAAATGTCCTGTCCTAGCCGCCCGACGCCCAAGTGGGTCGGTCAACTGTTATCCTGCATGACGGGTCGTAACAACAGGCTCTAGCTAAAGTTATTCACAGCTATCACTTAACTTAGTTCGGGTTAGAAATAAAAAAAAAACACAGTTTTTAAATTATATTTATTTTGCTTTTTATAACTATCTTTAGTATTTCACAAAGTATATCTTGTAACGGTCCAAGGTGATGTATTGCAACAAGCTATAGTGACTATTATGAGTATCTTTAAGAGAAAAGAAGGCCTGCCCTATAAGTCCGCTACGTTCTCATTGTCACGGCCACAGATCTTGAACATCAAAACGTTAATTGGCACTATGGGTAGAGACTATAAACTAGGGAAGAAGAAGAAAGAACAAGAATCGAAAGAAACTATGCTGCATACCTCCTGTCACTGATTAGACCGGATACTCGGAGGATCCTCGGATGATCCTCGGGCCGTAGGGCCTTGGCAGCCACCCGTCACAATAGCCGCTAAAAGACTGCATCTTTGAAGGCAAGATGAAGTTGTCAGATTGGTCGTAGTAACAAGCATGGGAGAGTTGTGTTGTTTGATTCTTCTGCTGCATGCGCTACGCGCGCGCCCCCTGAACGAATGAGGCTGGTGCGCCATGTCATGTGCGGACTATTCACTCCGATGTATCCTCTAACCGCCGAAGTATCCAAAGTAGCCTCTACACGACAGAAGTGGACCTACCGAAATCTTTCGGTCGCCAACTGACGACCGAAAGATGCCACCACAAGATGAAGTGGTCCTCTCCAGATCTTTCGGTCGTCAATTGGCGACCCAAAGACGAAGCGAACCCACCCAGACTTTTCTGTCGCCATTAAGCTACCAAAAGACTGCATCTTTCACGGCAAGATGGTTTTCAAAGACGCTTAGATCTTCGAGTCGCTACAATGCGCTAGAAGACTAGCTCTTGCCAAGCAAAATGCCCCTCAAAGGACAAATCGACGCTTGTCAGATCTTTCGCCAGCAGGAAGGGGAAAATAAATACTAAAACCATGCGGCAAACAATAATAAAAAGCATGCCTTATGCACCCATTTCAAGTATGTTGCAAGTACTCTGACGTTCACTAACCGTATCAGAGAGTTAAAATGAGGAAATTTTTCACATCAGTCGGAAACGTTTTTGTAGTGTCACAGGCTAGACCCGGTTTACCGGCCTTCGGCTTTACCCAGGCTCCGACCTTACACCAGTGTCCCACCGGTGCTCCACTAGATTGCAGCAATGCAGCACGGCAGTTCCCATAGTTCTTCCGTTCCGAGGGTCCCTGGTTACCCATGCGTCACCTGGTTACAAATGTCACTGTCTGTTGGGCCTTCAGGCGGGGTCGTCGGTCGGGTCATAACAGACAACTCGCGTTTGGTTTCGTTCACTTTGACTGTTCTATATCCAAGATTTACTCTTATTTTGACGAATATGTCGTATCCTGATACAACTGACATGACCCTATCCAACGGGCAGTCTGTCATGGTCTGCACGCCTCATCACCAAGTTGTCTGTGGGAAATGCTGTGTTGATTTCAGCTTCGATTTGAACGAAGGCGACTATATCTCGTCCGATGACGAAGGTATTTTCGGGTTTGACGGTGGTAACCCCACGCCCCGCGACGTCTCCTTCGCTCAAGTCGCCAGTAGCAAGTTTGGACGCCAGCTGTCTCCCGACCAGGCTGAGGGAGACACCACAGCAAACCCTCTCAAGCAGAATCATACCAGCAGGGGGATGTATGGTCTCCGTGACGAGCCTTCTGCGTGGAGTAAAGCCTCATGCCGAACGCAATTATCAGGCAGCTTTTTCCCTACAGCATACTGGCATCCAGAAATGAAGACAATGAAGCCGATTGCACTTTTCCCGCCTGGTAGCCACCGCTTCAAGAATTATTCAAATCCACACGAGATGCTAGTCTACGTCGATGGGGCATGTTCCTCAAATGGGACGCCAGACGCTATTGGAGGGTGTGGCTTTGTCTTTAAGTCCACCCAGGGAGGCTCAGTAGGATTCAGGCTTGAAGACCGGGGTGTTGATGGACAAGTCTACCGGGCGACCAGTAACCGCGCCGAACTTCGTGCGGCACTCGGCGCGTTGAAATTTCGAGCTTGGCATGGTGAGGGCTTCAGGAGCCTTGTCATCGCAACGGACTCAGTATATGTCGCCCAAGGGGCTACTGACTGGGCTCGCGGATGGATTGCGAACAATTGGAGGCCTAGGAGTGGTAAACCAGTCAAGAACCGCGACCTCTGGGAAGCGCTTCTACTCACACTTGAGAAACTTCATGAGGAAGGTCTCAGTGTGAGCTTCTGGAGAATACCGCGTGAGTGGAACAGCGCAGCTGATCAAGCTGCAAAGAAGGCAATTTCAACTAGCGGACCTAGAGAGAAATACGGCGATATTCTTGGTGTCATGGTTTAATTACGCTCTCTTAGCATATCCTTTACACCCCTCTTCCTCCCACGCAGACCAGCGATGCTGTGAGTGCAATCAAGGCAATTTTAACCCCCATACTTGCTGTTGATGAGATTTTTCTTGGTGTTTTTGATTAGTTGACCAACTTGCAAGTTATTCAATTATATCGCCATACAAAAAAACACGTGATCTATGATTACCTAATCGGGAGATATATGAAGCTATTCACGATGCACCTAGCAATCCGTTTACAATCTTCCTGCAACGTTGCAACTACGAGGTACCCACTGTTAGTAATTGTTAAGAATCTTGAGGGCTCCGGCCCACCACACTATCATTATTCATCATCAGCCCACGCAAGCTGAATCCTACGATCATGGCGGCCTCCCTAGATGTAGGGCCAACCATCACGGTTCACGGGGACGCCAGTACATGCCGTCGGTCAGGACGTGTCCGTAAACCGACCACAAAGGTTAGAGTGGTTGAGCAGGTTAACCACCAGGATAATGCTGAGCTTAAAGATGAGATCAATAAGCTCTCGAACCTCGTCCAGGACCTCCTACGACGAGACGCCGAGCGGGAACAATTCCTCAAAGACTGCCTGAAGAAGATTGAATCCTTAGAGAGACAGCTTCGGGAGGAAAGAACAGACCCAGTCCGGCAACAACATGGGCTTGCGAGGTCTATGTATGCTATTAACACAGGACCTAACGAGGCAGCCCTCAGCCCTCAAGGGCGTCCCCCACAGACAGCGCAGAACCAACCGCCGCTAGCCCGGTCCTATGCGACTGTGGCGAGCCGACCGTCGATGAGAACACAGGATAAACCAACACCAGCAAAAAAACCTACTAAACAAGCTGCAAACTGGGCGGCCTCTAAAGACCTACGCGTCTTCGCGCGTCTACCACCCGAAAGCCCGCTTCGCAACGAGAAAGCCTATGATATATACATCCTCGTTCGAGAAAAGCTAGGCATCCAAGTTCGAGAAGCCCTCAAGGGGATCGACCATGTCAAAACAGGATTAGCACTCCTACCCTCATCAGTGGATGGTGCAAAAGTCTTGCTTGATAACAGAGAGCAGATTGCTGCCCTTCTTCAGGCGCAGGCGGTCGAGCAGCGTGAAACCTGGGTCCGGGCTTACATTGCGAACGTCCCGTACACCAGGCACTGTCTGCTAAACAACACTACACTCGAAATCTCCGCTGAGGAGCTCCTTGAAGAGATCCAGGCCATGACGAAGCTCAAGCCTGAGAAAGCATACTTCTCCACGAAAGACGAAGTCGAAAAACTAGGCACAGTGACAGCCTGGTTTAAGCCTGAAGCCGCAAGGCAACTTCCAAGACGCCTACGTTTAATGGGAGCCAGCGTTTTTGTGAACCTGCAGCTCCCGAAAGAGAAGAGGTCCCCCTCATGCCACCGCTGCGGGGGTTTTCACAACGAACGGACGTGCACCAGAAGGAAGAGATGCCTTAAGTGTAGCTCTCCCTCCCACACGACCGACCAACACCAGGCACCCTGCGGTGGTATCGAGGGTCTCAACGGATGCGACTGCCCCTTTAAGTGCCCGTCGTGCAACGGCCCCCATGCCGCCTTTGATCCTACCTGCCCCACCAAACCTAAGGTAGTAAAAGGCGTAGTCCAGAGGAGAGATAAGGCACAGCTTCGGGCTATCCGAGCTGAGGGGGAGAGGTCATGGAGACTTGCGACCCAACGATCACACCAACAAGCGCGAGAACCCGAAGAAGCGATGGACTGCAGCCAGACGAATGAAACACAGCAGTAGAAGACAACCCCCAAGAGCCCTGCAAATCATGCAGGCAAATGTGGCCAGACGACCTTTTGCACACGAAACAGCTTGTGCTTATACCGCTCAGATCGACATACTCTTAATACAAGAGCCCTATGTCCGATCGGAAGAGAGGAGACTCACGAGATTCCATCCTGGCTTCGAGATCTTCACCCCGGTTGATAACTGGGCTAAAGACAGACCCAGGGTGCTCACTTACCTCCGCAAAGGGACTGGGCTGCGGGGAGTACAAATACGGCCCCTGCCCAGCCCATCCACAGACCTGCTCTTCCTACGACTTCTGTCAGGAGAACGGGAGGTCCTGTCAATTGTGAATGTGTATAACGCCCCTCGCGGATCCTTACATCCTGGCTATGCAGTGAGGGACCTAATAGCCTCCTGGCACCCTGATCCCTACGAACGAGTGCTAGTCGCAGGAGACTTCAACCTACATCATTGGACCTGGCAGCCCGAGGTCACGAGCTCCTTTGATGCAGAAACCTTAGTGGAATGGACGGACGCCACAGGCCTTGTCATGCTGTCGCCAGTAGGCGAGCCTACTCATAAAAATGGCAACACGCTAGACCTATGCTGGGCGTCCAGCAACCTCTATGGGGCATCCACTAGCATTGAAACGTCCCTGCACACAACTTCAGATCACGAGTCTCTGCTGACCAGGGTCCCTTTGACCCTAGCCAATATACCCAGCCCAACCGTGGGAAAGTTCCGGCTTGATACGATGGATGAGAAGGTGTTCCTCGACATGCTTAAGCGGAACATACAACCCATTCGCCATACCCTAAGCAACCCAAGGGGCCCAAAGGCACTCGATCTCCTAGCACAGCAGCTTACAGACTCCCTTATAGAAGCACTCACGGCATCTACAAGGCGCACACTGGGCAGAGGTCCTGGAAGGCCATACTGGAACGAAGAGTGTGCACGCAAACACCAAGCTTATACAACTAAAAGAGCAACTGTGATGAGACTACGCGCTTTGGGAGTAGACTGTCAATGGGAACGGGAGGAAGAAGACGCCCTTAAACAGGACTTCCTCTGTGAGTTACGCCGCTCTAAGGATACGTACTGGAGAGGAGTAGTAGTAGTAGTAGTAGTAGTAGTAGTAGGTAGCGGCGGCCCACGGCCCGCGTAGGGTCAGGTTAGGGTCAGGTCAGAGGGGGGGGGGGGGGGGGGGGGGGCGAGATATTTTGGGGGTCTATGCCGATGGTGTTTTGTTTTCCTGATTTTTGATTCTTTTATTTTGGTGTGTGTGTTTTGGTGGTTTGGGGCGGTGTTAAAAGCTGGCTGACTGGCTGGGGCTGGGGGAGGGAAGGAGGCAGGCAGGCAGGGAGGAAGGGAGTAATTCACATGGAGGGTGGTGATTGGATTATTATTGTTGTTGACTAACTATGTACTAGGCACGTATGGAAAAGCCAAAAGCCCTTGCGGGCTTTTGGTCCTCGGCCGAGAATCGAAACCAACGAAGCAGGGAAGCCCGCAAGGGCTTTTTGTTCTCGCACGAGAATCCAGTTCTCGGCTGGGAATGGAAAACCAATAAGCCCGCAAGGGCTTCTGGTCCTCGGCCGAGAATCCAGTTCTCGAGTGAGAACGGAAAACCAGAATGGAGAACGATAAGCCCGCAAGGGCTTCTGGCTCTCGGCTGAGAGTGGAAACCCATAAACCCGCAAGGGGTTCTGGTTCTCGCCTGAGAATCCAAGTCTCGAGTGAGAACGGAAACCCAAGAAGCCCTTGCGGGCTTCTGGTTGCCGCCTGAGAATCCAGTTTCCGGATGAGAATGGAAAACCAGAATAGGAAGCCATAAGCCCGCAAGGGCTTCTGGTTCTTGTCTGAGAATCCAGTTTCCGGATGAGAATGGAAACCAAGAAGCCCACAAGGGCTTTCGGTTCTCGAGTGAGAATCCAGTTCTCGGATGAGAATCCAAAACCAATAAGCCCGCAAGGGCTTCTGGCTGTCGCCCGAGAATCCAGTTCTCGACTGAGAATGGAAAACCAAAAATAGACTGGTTCCCAGATCAGATCAGAATTACGAATAAAACACGTACAGGATCAAATCTCATGATGCCTCAGGCACCAAGACACGTGTCGACTCTGACCATGCATACGCGGTCCAAGAGATTAACAGATGACCCAAGGGAGAACGCGACGCGTCGAAGCTCGATAAATACTAACAATAGAAAGCCACTCTCGGAATGGCACACGATAAAAACAAAAGAATACACGTAAATGCAGCAATGTAGAATGTCGCGTTTTGCAAATCGAATCTGCATCTCCTGGATGGCATTGCATGTGCTGCTGTTGGTCTGATTTTGCTGGTCATGATGGTGGTGTTGTTCTGGTTAAGTGGTTGGTGCAGGCCAGCAACGCGGAGATGGTGGGGGAAGTGCCCAAAATCTGCTTACATCATTTCGTGATGAGGTAATCGTCAAGGGTCTCATGGCGCCCGACAGTGACGCCAAAATTGGTAGACGTAAAGGTTATTTCCATTTACTTTACAACGTGATGGATCTAGCATAAAAAGGTTGGTATACATCGCTTTTCCCTTACCATAACTATCGATTGATCTTATTTGTTTTGAATTTGGTGACGTGTGTGGAATACCGTGAATATTTACTCATCATTTTCCCGTCTTCTCTGTTATAAAATAGCAAAACCAAATACTCATCAATCGGTCTTGGACATTGATCCCAACAGGAAGGGACTATCACAACAAAATATATACTAATAATAATTATATTAATAAACAGAAGTAATATTGTATATAATATCGCGTGTCTATAAGTAGAATTATCAGTAAAAATACAATATCAATCTCAGAATCAACTACATACTATGATAACACGGGCTCAACACTTCACGGATTTGGAACCAAAAAACAAATAGACGTAGTAGAATACTGTATTAGCATCTAAACCAAATATATGAGTCAAATACCAACACTCGAAGTAATACCCACGACGCCTTTCCATCATGTACACAGTGTATCACTACTAATCATGACAGCAAATGGTAACCAGCTCAGGAACCCAGATAAAGAGAGACCACCCAAAGGGTATCAGAAAACTGCATGCAAACCTGTACTCAAGTCACATCTCGTCGAATCTACGCATGGCAGCTCAGCCTCTGCTACTATACTGATCAGTCTTCGTCGGAGGCCGTCATAGAGAGCATGCTCGATCTGCCAAAATCCTGTGAGCTGCAGCCAGTCATGGCCACGGCCAGGCGGACCCTCAACACCCAGCCAATCAAGCGACTACACCCACCTGCATATGCCCGGGTGCCCATCCCCCGTCGCTTAAAGTCTCAACCTCACCATGCATGGTCACTAACCTGGAGATTTCTATTCTTATAGCCTTAATCTTTCCCACCCTTTTTATTTCCTTCCTATAACTAGAAAACCCATCCCTCATCACAGGTCAGCCCCATGGCTACGACATCTAGAAACGCCAAAGGCGCCGCCAATGCGTCGATATCCAAAAAGCGAAAGCGCCAATCGAGCGACACCGGCACGAAAAGACCGGCCCCCGGCAGCCCGGCACCAGCGCGTTCGCACCAGGACACCGGTCATTTCAAAGAGGGCGAGTCGGTCAGGGAATGCGCCAAGCCTTACCTTCTAGCAGTGGCGGAGATGCCGCTGGACGCCTTCGACACGACCTGGAGCATTGGTCGGAATCGTGGGCTCGACCTGGGGCACGTCCGCGAACTGAAGGAGACGTTTAGGAAGGTCGGCATCGAGCGGCGCGCACCCGAGAACCGACTTATCGGCCTCTGCAGTGCCGAGCAGGTACGGCGCATGCGGGAGCGGAGCGACAGTCAGGGCGTCTATGCCCACTCCGACTGGACCGAGACCAACGCTGGCATGAAGGTGGAGTTGATGGCGGGCCAGCACCGTATACAGGCTTTCCGGGAGTATGTCAAGGACACGGGATCACCAGAAGGAGCAGTGCTATGGTGGACATGCGAACTTTACGACAAAGGTATGAACCATCAATGGCGGCGCCACCAGGCAGACCGAACGACCAACTAACGAGCGACAGATCGGCTGCCGCATGACCTCAACGTGAAGTTGCGCGTCAATCGCAGAGACCCGAGCCTGCCCGACAACCACGGGCAGATCTGGACGCAGCTTGTGTTGGTTGCTCCCAAGGGGGCAGGCGATCGCCTGGAGGACCGCGTGGGCGTCGACATCAAACTCGTCGAGGCACTCCGCCTCGGTGGGGAGAAGAATTTCCCGACACGCCGGCTTGTGACGCTCTGGAACCACACCAGGTGGCGGGACATGGTAACACGCTGGTGCAGTACAAGGCTGGGGCTCGAGACCTTCAACATCTCGGTGTTTGAATGGATGTCCAGCCTGCGTATGGATGACTATTGGTTCGGAAAACTGGACGCCGTCCTTCAAACACTCCAGGCGCTGCCACTAGACGACACCAACGCACTCGGGCACCGAGACTGGCAGCTTATAGCAACAGGCCTTCACGGGGCGGGCCGCACCGCCCAGGAGGTCGAGTCTGTATTTTACGTGACGGACGGGAGCCAGCGTGTCCGGGTCGAGGGTTTACTCCCGGCACTGGACGACGACCAGTATGGCGAGGTGTGCCGGGCCATCGCCTCGAACACGTACAAACCGGCCTTTCCGGATCTCAAAAGGCTGATCCGGAGCAGCAGGGTGGAGGCGTACGTCATGGCGCGCGTCCTACAGCACGTTGTCGCGTGGATCGACCTGGAGAGCGCTCTCGCCATCGACCAGGTAAACCCCAAGGCCAAGAACAAGCCGCTAATCAGGGATAACCTGGCCGCCGCCCTCAAGAGCCTGGCCCGATCAAGGGGTGCGGGGGACTACCCGGACGACACCAGCTTGCGCCTGCAGCAACGCGTCCTAAACTTCGCCCGGGACAGCCTGGCCGACTTCCGGGCGGCGGACGTACAAGCGCTCCTCGACGACGAAGTCTCCCTCGTCAAAACAACTGCGTATGGCACCCGCTTCGCGTACGCCCCGTGGGCTCAGCTGCTTCGGCTCACACGGAGGATAACCGACTCGGGCAGGTGCCAAGCCGTACTGCGTCCTGGATGGCAAACCGACCATCCAAAGTATCAGGGGGGATCTCATAAACCACCCTCGCCACTCGTAAAGGCGTTCTGCGTCAATGTTTTCAAGACTGTGGACCGACCCGAGCTGCACACTCCCAATGCGATGCTTGCCGTCCAACGCAAGATTGAGGAGACGATTGCCGCCCACACGGCCGAGATCTTGGCTGGGGGGAATGGTGGTGCTGGGTCGCAGCCGACGGAGCCGGGGGGGCTTCCCTGTCCTGACGACGCAAGTATCGGCTCTAGCCCCGAACCGTCGTCCGGCCATGTCTCAGATGCGTCCCTGCCAGCAAGTAACAGGATTCGGGGGCAACAGCAGCGGCAAGCGTCGACACCCAGCCAAGCATCGTCGGACCACAGCGGCATCGAGCGACCGGGAGACGGTGAGGACCCAGTCCAATCCGCCACCAAGAAGGGAGTTTCAGGGCGCGATCAACAGGCGCAAGGCGTGCAGGCGAGCGGGTCGGACCTGCTGCCGCCATCTGCAGACCAAGACCGGATCGGTGATGAGGTGTTTGTTCCCAGATGGCGGCGGGAAGTAAAAAGTGCGGGGAAGAAGGGGTCCAGACCAAGAATTAATTAGAAATCAATGCAATCACCAGGTCTTTCCAAACCTCATTGAATCTCAGTTGCATCCAACCAATCCATGATTGGCGAGGCTTTATCTCTCAGGCCCACTTGGGCGTTTGGCGCAATGCACAAGCATGGGACTTATACAACAACAAAAAGAAAGCAAACTACAACTCTCTAATTGTGCAGCCTGGAAGGCGTCACACCGTGTATGGCAGGACTGTGATGACCTGAAATCCAAAAAGAAAATCCCAAGAATAGTGGCGTGTTGAACCGTCATGTTACCACCCAACATTAGCCCTTGCGGGCTTCTTGAGTGTTTACAGTGGTGGGAGAAAGAAAAAAGAAAGATGCAGGCATGCAAAACGTGATTGGATTGGACTGTCAACCCCATTACTGTCCTTGGCCAAACCCCAAGCTGCATGTTTGCTTGCCAGAGGGAAGCTTTGGGTGTGTGGGAGAAGTCATCATTATCAAAGTATGCATTGTAAATACAGACCATGCACCATCATCACCTGGGGTGAATTTAGAGAACTTCTAACAATCAATTCTCTCCGATTATACCAACCGAACAAGCATCACAATGGCCGATGATAACTTGACTGACGACGGCTTGGACTCTGGAGTCTTTTCCGGAGAGGATGAGGATGAGTACTTACATGGCGGACCTGCTTATCACGACGGCAACACCGAAGGTGAGGAAGAGCCACCCACGAAGCGGTGGAAAGTCGACCATTCTTCCGGCCATCACAAGTTCAGAGGTCCGTAGCATCAATCCTCTCAGTGCACGATACTAACACTCGAGGTCTTTGCAGTCCCCCAGTTTGTCCAAAGGGTGCTCGGAAGTGGCTTTGAGCCGTCCGACGCACTCGACATGCTACAGCAAAAACACACAATCGACTTTGGTTCCAAGAACGCGGGTTCGGCGCAGGCCAAGCCTACCGACGGCTTCTTCCCCGAGTTCTTCCTCGACTTCCTCAGCATCGTGGGCAAACCCGGCCGCCCAATCTCGAGCGACGACGGTCCCATCTTTGATAACGTTACCATATCCTTCCAGAGGTGGGCGAAACCATACGGGGCAAAACACGTCAGCGGGATACCCTTCGACATCACCGGCCGGACCTTCAGGATCGCACAGGCAGCGACGCGTGAGGTATGGTTCATCGTCATGCATCCGATGTCTGGCGAGGTGACCGAGCTCCCTCGCTCGGCGGCCGACCGTCGACGCAGGCGAGAACAGGCCGGAGAGAACAGCGGGTTGCCTAAGCCCCTGGCCCAAAAACTGGCCACCTACATCACGCGCGTATTCCGATCGGCGGAGCTGCTCGGCGAGGGCGTCGAGGACAGTTGGTACCCGGGAGGCCCGCACAGCCAGCGGATCACCACCACCAAATGGACCATATTCCAGAAACAGTTCATGGACGGCTGGGCCGCCTGGGCCGGTACCCACGACCCAGGCTCCTTCTGGTGCAGCCACGAGCCGGCTTTCCATGCCTACGACTACGGCGCCAATATTCAGATCGAGGTCAGCGATTGGCTCTTCCACCTGCCTCGCGAGAGGCCGTACACCCACGACGATGAAGAAGAGGACGAGGATGAAGAAGACGAGGATCAGGCGATTGTGGACATTGCACGGCGACAGGCGGCGGGGGTATTCGTCGAGGACAACGGCCGGGCCGCCGTCGAGGAGAACGCCGCCAACTACAACCGGATACTCCAGGAGAGTGCAGGTCTGCAAAAGCTCGTCCAGGAGCTAAATGACCGCTTCAGGCTGGACAACATCGCGGTAGTCTCCTATGCCCTCGCTGTATGCATCAACAGTGACTCGGACGGAAAACCCAGATGCTTGCTGGTTGACCGTAACATGATGGCGAGAGAGTACCCGAGTCCCCGTGACTTCACATTTTACCCTCAGGCGTTCAACCCCGTCTATGGTAACGTCTCGTCCAGCCGGCCTCCCGAGTTCCTCGCCCCGCTATTCGCCACCATGAAGGGCAACATGAGCGACCGCAACGAGGGCGCTGACGTCTTGTCGTTCGGTTACTTCCAAGGCTACTCTAACATCAAGCGGAGTGTACGCCACAGCCCGCAGGATCTCCTCGCGACGAAGGGGTACGCCACAGCAGCTCTGACGGTGCCGGCATCCGACGCGTGCTCCATGTCGGCGACAAGGGACAAGCGCGAGCGGCTCTTGCGCCTCATCCGCGGCCAGGGTACGCCCTTTAGTCCCGACGCGTCGACGCCGTTCGCTCGCTCGCGCGTGCAGATGCAGTACGCCATTGACACCAGCGAGGTCGCCTACCGGCTCGAACAGGTCGTGTCCCTTGACCTGGGCCGCATGGTTGGCGCCGAGCGAAAGTTCGAGACCGTGATCCACACCATCTTCCAGATCATCCGCTTCTTCCTCGTCGAGGTTGAGTCGTACGTCCACATCTTCCGCTCAATGCCGACCGACGTCTTCCCGAAGATCATGTGCGCGTACTCGCGCATCTTCGAGCTGGCGCTCGGCGAGATGGAGCGCCGCTTCACCCACGGCGGCGAGCGAGGTCTCGACCTCCCTCACTCCGAGGCCGTCGCGGTGATGGACCGCCTCGGGGGGTACATATTTACGGGGCACGATCGCCACCTGCCCAAAACGGTGTTGCGGCCGCTTGGCACGATCGACAGCCTCCGCAACGGGGCGTGGCCATACATCGACCCGGCGTTGCTGGACATGCGGTCGTCGGGCGGCGCAGTGATCCACATCGGCAAATGGCCCCGGACCAAGAAGGGCGGGAGGCCCGTGCTGCTCCATGTGGGCGAGCTCAGGTTCCACTACGGAGAACGGATCTCGGCCAACCGCGAAAGCGATCTCTGGTTCGCGCAGCTCGGCGAGACCGCGTTCAGCAGCGTGATGGCCGTGACGGGGTTTGTCGACGAACTGGTGCGCGATCTCTGGGTGCCGCAGACCAAGTCGTTCATCACACAGCAACTGAGGCGCCGACTGCACGAAGGGGGCGAGACGGACGGGAGGCCGATCACGTCAGACGTCATCAGGCAGTGCCAGACTGCCATTGAAGCCTGGCAGGACGCGAAGGACGCCTTCACCAACGTAGCGCTGGTGCGGCTCACCAAGGGCCTTGAAGCTGGCGGATCCCGTGTGGCCATAACGGAATCCACCACGCGCACGCGACACGACTTTGCCGTCGAGCTTATCCGGGCAATCGCCACGAATAAGGGTAAGGATGCATTCTCATCAAAGAACGCGTCGTGGCCCCTCAAGTTGCACCTGGCCATCGCCAGCGGACACAAAGCAGACGGCGGCATCGGGCGTTCCGAGTGGGCGAGCGTGCTCACGGCCTGCCTCCTTACCGAGCGGATCGAGTGGTTACCCGGATCGATCCGTGGTCGTCTGACATCCCGCAACATCATTCACCTGTCGGGTGCGACAGCGGTGCTGCCAAAAATGTCCGGCCCACCGGGATCGCTCCGGCGAGCCGCCCAAGAGGCGGAACTTGCGTACGAGGAGGCGGCCAGGCGACGGGCGCACCAAGCCGCCAACAAGCTGAATATCGATTTCGGATGCGACTTCCCCATCATAAGCATACCCGACCTGCTCCAGTCCGGTCTCGATCAGGCCAAGTCGGTCTTCACCCGAGCGGACGGAGATCGTAAAGTGCTCGACCATTACCAGCTTGTTATGAACTGTCTGGCCGAGAACATTGACGACCCGCTCTGCCAGCTGATGCTGATGCTCACACTAACAGTATGCTCCTCGTCGGCAACGCCGCAGGTCGATGTCGGGGCGAAAGCATTCAGCGTTTCGCCCAAACGCAAGGACCCGGGGCAGTTGGCGCTCGCAATGGTGACGCGAATGATGTGGTTTCTGTATCGCCAATCCTTCCCGTGGGATAAAGGCTCCGGCTCCACGGCGCACGATGTGGCCGAGATGACCAAAAAGATTGGTATGTAGCGTGTTCTCCAAGTCACCGCCAGTGCTAAGCAGTGCCCAGAACACAAGGGATGCAATAACCGAGTCCTGTGTCAACTGGGTTGGATTGTTAAAACAAAGGGCAACCGAACCACCCCACGGAACACGGAAGTCGAGTTACAGTCGCATCAGGTGCTCCTGGATTTACACAAGCAGCTCGTACGGTCGCGGAAGACGCCGCAGGATTTCATTGCCATAGTATTCAATAGCCGTGATAGTTTATGGGTGGAGCGATGTCGGAGTATCATTAAAAGTGATAGTTTATAATAAAAGAGAAAAGTCTGCCTAACATCACGTCCACGATGAACTTGAGTAGAGTTCATTGAAACGGCCAGCCAAATTAAAGTGGGCCCGCGAAGGCACGGGGTAGGGTTCATTGAAAATAGGGTAGTAGAGTTCATTGTGATTTTCAGCCCCAAAATAAA